ATAAAACCAAGCATCAAATTGTTCATTATTTATTATTAAAAAAAATTAATTTAGTCGTTAGACTTATTTTTTTAAATATTATTTTAATAATTATCGATGAATTAAAAACGGTAAAGCTTCTCATCGCCTGATCCTGCTCATCCAAGCATTAACGTGTTAATTAATTTCACTATAAAAAGTACATGTAGTCGTTATACTACTGTTTACGGTAGTCAAAAATAATTTAGTTGATATTTATCAATGAAAATCGGTTAAACTTCCCTGAGAAATAAATTGAGTTTTTATTTATGACATAAAGAGATTTCGCTTTTCATCTACGGTGCTTGCTCGCCCAACAATTAACTATAACTAATTGGATTATTATTTATAACTAAAAAGTAATTAAGCTTTTGAGTGCCTGCGCTTGATTCTTGAAAATGGATTTAGTTGTTATTTATAATTGAAAGAGAGTGGAGCTTTTTAATGCTAGCGCTTGCTCACCCAAGCTCCAATTTATTGCAAAAAGATCGACATGAATTAAGTTCAAAGCAAGTAGATTAAAGTAATCTAAAAAAATGTAAATACTTCAGTAAAATAATAAAAAAACGGTGACCTCTTGTATCTCGAAGTATTAAGCAGTCCCTCTCATCTCTTTCTTGCTTGTTCCAATGAAATGGATACCATTCATATGAACTAAAAGTCATAAATTAAATATCAGAATAAAATTAACGAAAAAAATTAGTAACTCTAGTTTTAATATTGGAGATAAATCAGTTGACAATAAAAAATAACTTATTCAATATCCATTTAAAAAGAAGNCCAGACACTTTTTTCGCCACATGCGGGAGCGAATCATGCCGCCACGCGGTCGGAGATTCAGTTATACTATCAAGTCAGCATTTACAATGCTGCAGTGTCCATTCGTTGTAAATAATCAGACTTTGGAGAGCCTGTACATGCCAAGAGATGGTCAGGTGCAGTGTGGAGGATGCGGGAGCTCCCCCTGATTGGCTCTGCCATATTCAGGATCAACATGTACACAATCTTAATCAAACAATTAAACTAGCTCGGAATCTCACGTCTGTGTGAGCTTCGTGTGTTGAATACTTTTATTACTTACTTGAATATGAGTGACAGAGAGACTGTCGACAGTGTCGACTGTCGACTCGAGATCTGATGGCTACCTTATGTACATACCATATGTAGGTAAGCCGCATTGCAGATTGTTTATGTATTTAGTTTCCAAACACGTGGTCAGATCAGATCTGAAAAGTCTATAGGGCAAGGGCAGGCAAGGGTAGCCTCTGTGTGTTGTCAGGTGTTGTTTGTCAATGTATAATCGTTGTTGACACTCGTATTATTGGAATATGTCTCGTTTGATAGTGAAAAATTTGCCTAAGAATGTGAGTTTCCAGTTAGAATCCGTTGAAAATGTTATAATTAATAAGTTTAAGCTATTTAAAATGCAATATTCCAGGTTACCGAAGACGAGATTAAAGACTCGTTTGGTGAAAAAGGAGTTATTACAGATGTGCAATTGAAATTTACTGAAGATGGGAAATTTCGACGATTCGGCTTTGTTGGGTACAAAACAAAAGAAGAAGCTTCCAACGCCCTGACGTACTTCAACAATAGTTATTTTAAAAACTCAAAAATTGTTGTTGAACTCTGTGCTGGATTGGGTAAGTATCAAAAGCATTTAATGTAACTTAACATTGAATAAAAATACATTTGTGGTTATCATATGTACTTATTTATTTACAGGTGATCCCTCGAAGCCTAAGTCATGGAGCAAGTATGCTCTTGACAGTAAAGTGAATCATGACAAGATAGCTGCAGAAGAAGATAAAAGTAAGAAAAAGTCAAAGAAAAATGATGCAGTGGAGAAAGAAGATGATAAAAAAAAGAAAAAAAAGAAGGATGAGAAAAGCAAGGTGGAAGAAATCATAAACAAAGTGAGTGGTATTTGTACTAATTTTGCAACATGTGAGAAATCATGATTATTAAATATCTTTTTAATTTTATTTTAGCACAAAGATGACCCACTATTTAATGAGTTTATAAAAAGTCACATTAAAGGTGATACAAAAATATGGAGCAACGATGACTTGCTTGTTCTGAATGGAGATGATGACAAAAATAGTGATGATTCTGGTAAAGGAAGTGGTAAAGATGATTCTGATGATGCTGAAGATGAAAAAATAGCTAAGAAAGCTATTTCGGATAAGGAGTATTTTGAATCATTGAAAGCAAAATCGCAAGGTATTGAAGTTAAAAAAGTTGAAGAGTCGAAAAAGAAGGGCCCCCAAAAATTCTTTACCGTTAAAGTTCATGGGCTTGGATGCAATCACAAAAAAAAAGATGTAAAACAACTGTTTCATGGAGTAAAACCAAAGTCTATCAGAATACCACCTAAAATCAGGGGTATAGCTTATGTTGGCTTCAAAACTGAGAAACAAATGAAGCAAGCCCTTGCTAAAGATAAAACTTTTTATGGTAAAACTATCAAATAACATCAGCTGTATTAATCTGAAAATTTGGGTGGAAGACATAAATTAACTTTATTTTCAGACGGAAAACGTGTATTTGTAAGTAAATACGTTGAAAAAGAACAATCTGGAGAAAAAGAGCAAGATTGCAACAAATCCAGATGGAAACGGCAAGAAGACGATCTTAAAAATACAGAATCCATAGCCGAGTCTGGAAAAATTTTCTTGAGAAATTTATGTTATACCACAACCGAGGATGACATCAAGGCAATCTTTGAAAAATATGGTCCTGTAACTGAAGTGAGTGTTCCAATTGATATGTTCACGAGGAAATCCAAGGGATTTGGAACTGTGACTTTTCTAATGCCGGAACACGCAGTCAAAGCTTTTGAAGAGCTCGATGGTTCAATTCAAAATGGTAGATATCTTCACCTTCTTCCAGCAAAATCGACAGATACTTTAGAAGACAAACTTTCTGATGGTATGCTTTTATTAATAATGTGAGAAACTATTCCCTCATAAAACAAAAATAGACATTAAATTTGTATGTACGTACTGCTTAGGTGGTCTCAGTTTCAAAGATAAAAAAGAGTTAAAATTGAAAGCTACAGCTGGGCATTCGCATAATTGGAACGCCTTATTTTTGGATCAAAATGCTGTTGCAGATTCAATAGCCAAGAAATATAATATCACAAAAGAAAAAGTATTTTCATAATTTTTTTTCAATGATTATTTAAAGCAACTCGTTAATACTATTTAAATTTTACATGATGCAGCTTTTTGAAGACAACAAAGGAACCAGTTTGGCTGTTCTATTAGCTCAAGGAGAAACACATTTCGTGTTGGAAACAAAAAAGTTCTTAGAGACAAATGGGGTTCATTTGAATGCCTTTAACCAAGTAAATATCGCACTAATTATTTACATATGGTTATCTTTCATTGCTTGACTCAAAATATTTTTAGGCTCCAAAAGTTCGATCGAAAGCTGTGATACTTGTAAAGAATTTAGCAGCTGGAACGTCGGTGCAAGAAATACGAGAAATGTTTGAAAAATTTGGTGTATTAGGTCGAGTTGTCTTGCCTCCTACCGGAATCACAGCTCTTGTGGAGTTTATTGAACCGTTTGAAGCTAGAAAAGCGTTTAATAAGCTGGCATATTCGAAATTCAAGTCTTTGCCTCTGTACTTGGAATGGGCACCAGCCGACAGTTTTTCATCCTCACCTCCTGCCGTTTCTACCTCGACTAGTAGTGAAAAAACAGAAAATACGAAAACACCGCAAAATACGACTCAAGAAAATAACACGAAAGACGTTGAATCAACTAAAGATGATAAAACAGAAGCTAAGGAAGATGAAAGCGATGAGGAAGACGATGAAGAGCCCGAGCCCGATACTACACTTTTTGTTAAAAATTTGAATTTCAGTACAACAGAAGAGCAGTTGAAAAAAGTATGTCTTTTGTTAGTCTCTTGTTGAATTTAAACTCTAACATTTTTCATTTTTTAGCATTTCGAAAAATGTGGTCGGTTGCACTATTCCACTGTCTCCAAGAAAAAAGATCCAAACAACCCCAACAACAAGTTGTCGATGGGCTATGGATTCGTGAGGTACAAACTGAAGTCTAGCTTGGAGAAGGCCATGAAAGAATTACAATCATCATTGTTGGATGGTAAAACTCTCGAGTTGAAACGTTCCGAAAGAACACTTCAGTAAGTTCCATCTGCTGGTTGCTGTATTGAAAATTTCATTTTTTTTTCGGATCACTTATAATTTTTGATAACTTTCAGGACTGACATAAAAGTAGTAAAAAAAACAAGCAAGAGCACTAAACAGACAGGAACAAAAATTCTTGTGAGAAATGTGCCTTTCCAAGCAAATGCCGATGAAATTAAAGACTTGTTCAAGTGAGTATCAAAGAAGTTTGGAATTTTTATATTTGTTATGTAAGTTCTACAGTAATCTGGATTAATTGTATAGGGTGTTTGGCGAAGTAAAAAGTGTAAGATTACCGAAAAAAATGGTTGGCGACGAGAAACATCGTGGATTCTGTTTTGTTGAATTCTATACGAAAAAAGAAGCAAAGGTAAGCACGGAATGCACTCCAATTTAACTATAATACAAATTTTTTACCACCCAATATCTTATTTTCTTGCAGACGGCTTTCGAATCGTTGTGTTTGAGCACTCATTTATACGGTCGCAGATTAAATTTGGAATGGGCTCAAACTGAGGAAGCCGTCGAAGATCTTAGAAAACGTACTGCAAAACACTTCCACCAAGGTAGAGTAAATTACTAATTTTGTTCCCTACTTTTATATTCTATGAAAACGCAGATATTAATAAAAGTTTTACTGATTTCAGAACCATCTAAGAGAAGTAAAAAAGGAACCTTCGATCCGGAAGCACCAGGCCTAGAGGATGAAAACTAATTCGTTTCTAATTATATAAAAAAAAAACTAAGTTGTTGAATTAAAAACAAGTTAATGTATATAGGAAATAAAATTTTTATTAATATTTTAATATTCGAGATGCATTTCTCATTAACCGGAAAATACACGGACATTTTTAGTTACAATATCATGATGGATAGAAGGCATATTAACAAAAGAACGTTATTTTGTATACAATTCACTTTCATTTTTTTTACCTTGCATGGATTTGCATTGTAGAGAAAGTCAACGTATGAAACATTAAAATTCTTGTATCATTTACGAAACAACATTTGGCATAGTAAAATAATCACTAAATTCGCACTATACTAGATGACCTCTTAGTAAATTAGAGTTAATCACCTTGAATTTTTCACTAGATGACGAAGAATCAGACTTGGCTATTTAAATCTGATTCTCATCTGTGAAAAGAATCATTCAATATCTCATCCTAATTTTAGGTATGTTTAGAGCTAACATCGCGATGTTCTGGTTGACAAGTTACGTCGACGTGTAAGTCATTCTTCCTATAATCACAGCATCGCACATATTTTTCTAGTATACAGTGGACAAAAAATACTCCTATGTACATATCTTTACACACAACTTTCAAAGTTGTCTCATGATTTAAGCTCTGTTTCAAACGTTTTTTTTATTTTAATATGAATATGAAATACGCGTCTGCTTCAATATAGCCAATAATCTTTTTTCCCCGTGAATATGTGATATTTTATAAGATATAAAAACTCACGCAAAGTGAAACAGTCTGTCAGGTTGGTTTCACTCGTCATGCTGGTTTATAACTGAAAAGTAAAAATTCAGTCAAATATTGAAAAGTCGCGAAAAATAATTATTTGATGCAGCACAATATGTCGCATCGATATTGTATGAATTTTCGAAAAAAACACTTTGACATTTTTTTCCCAAATCTGTTAATTTTTTTTTTTTTTTTTTTTTTTTCCCTTCTTAAACCTCGATTTTGATTCCTTTGCAAATTTGTCGAACGACAGCCAGCTGCCTGGACAAAATGCTCTTTTTTATCGTCTTCCGTTTCTTCTGTCAATAATGCGTCTATGTTTTGTCACTTGAAGGACAGCTATTTAATATGTTTCCGAGGAAATTCTTGAACGCAGTCAGATCCACGTTATCACGTTCGAAGATTCTTGCCTTTTCTTCGGAAGCGCTCCTCAAGGTAGCCTGGTATCTGAAAAAAATTTCGAAAAAAAACAAAGCATTACGTGCTTGGTCCGATTCTTCGATTCGTGGCCTTTACTTATCAGTCTTCTTCTAGACATGTCCAATTGCATTCAGCAAGAGTGTACGTAATATTATTTTAGCAGTAACTATATTTCTAGAATACATCTACAAGCCCGCTTGCTCTAAACTTACAAAAAATCATCGCAAGAAATAAAAGTAATTGGATTTTTTCCAGTAACTGTTAAATTAGCTGGTCCGATGATTCATTAAACAACATTTTTATGGTAATGCAGCATTAGTGATCCAACTCCATACAAATAAACATATACTTATCTTGTTCAAAAACCATAACAGTTCACATGATTAACATTGAATTGAATGTACATACAACAAGAGTTAATGATAAAGGTAACATGTATTGAAAGTAGTAAAAATGATGGACAAACACTTGGTTAAATTTTTCGACATTATAATAAAAGCTTTAGCATTGCCTCGTTATACTCAAGACATGCAAAAAAATAAATCGAATCTATTGAATTGACATTTTTGTTAATCAGTTAACACAAATAAGTACAATGAAAAGATAAAACATTCAGTTAACGTTAGAAAAATAGTAGAGAGGTAAGAGTTGAAATGCTTAGAATGGATGAAGATGACATCCGTTTCGTCGGATTTTATTTTGAATAGGCTTTTCCTGTTGTGTATACATAGTTTTGCATAGTAATCGTCTAAAATAATGATAACAGTTTCTTTCACTCTAACAGTGCTCGGATGGTTTTATAACTGGAATTTAGTCAATAGCAAAGTACGTGTTTACATAATTGCAGTATTTTACTTGCATGCATTTTTTATTTGTACTGCATACAAGGTGCATAAAATGTGGCAGGAAAATTGGAAATGCGCTGTGATTAAAAACATATGCTTTCTCGAATAATTCTTTGTAATTTCAACTATTTGCATATTGTAACAAATGTTTTAAAATATAAAAGCACTACGTTTACTAAGAGTAAAATGATGAATGGTTTCTTTTATTGCGTGGGTAGAATGTGAGTTGTAATAAAAATTGTATCTATGACATGCCTATAAGAGATTACGAATCTTTCTACTTATCAATGAAGACAACAAAAATAATACAACCATTCAATGAAACATGTGTTTCCTAAATGTAATAAAACTTGAATGAACTGAAAAATCAACTGTTGTAAATTTGTTTGATGAATTTTTTTTGCAAAATTTAAATTTATTCAAAAAGTTAGTTATGTCTTTGTTCGTAATATTCTTTTTACATTAAAAAATATTATTTCTACAAAAATTAAACTTTGTATGAACATTACTCCATTAATTAATTGATTCTATGAAAAAAGAATATAAAATCTAGAAAACTTTATCATTCTGTAAATATGTAAAAATGTAAAAAATCGATTTTTCGTAATAATAATTTGATATTTACACACGAAGACAAGCTTTTTTTTACATACAAAATGAAAACAAGCATAAACAATAAGAAAAACGATTTTTGATTTTGGTACAAATAACAATGGGCGGCTTTTTCATTTGAGAAAGCAAAAGCTAAGGAAGAATGATGTCGAAATAATGGTGGTGTATAGGATAAAAATTTTTCAAAAAAGAGGGGAGGAAATAACAATAACAGTAATAACAATAATAAAGTGCGCGTATAAAGTGCACGTGCAGTGACAACTAGCTATAGCATCCAATTACAATATTTTTCTCTTCACATCGTCAGAAGATGGAATAAGGCTACGAAGTGCACTCGTCCAGCTTTTGTTTGTTCGTCTTGTGGCCTCTTATTTTTTTTTTTTTTTTTTTTTTTTTTTTTTTTTCTACACGTAAGATCTAAGCTTCTACCTTTGGTTTCGGTCGGTGTGTATCCACTGCATCTATCGGCAAGCGTATGTTCTCCACTTTGCAGCCGTAAGCCACGGGCGTTAATTTTATTATGGTGTGCAGCGGTACCTGCAAGTACGGCAGTTCATCTGAAAGACAAAAAAAAGTGCATTCATCAACAACTACGTTCTTAAAAGATATTTTTCTGTAAATCAATCAGTTAAAAGTGTTAACGCACCGGCGTTTTTATCAAGGAAGTAAGCAAGCAGGCAGCGCAGCACGGCCTGATGGCTGACGACGAGAACGTTGCCCTGGCGCTCGAGTTCCATGATGACGGGCTCGAGACGCGCGACCAAGTCTTCGTAGCTCTCTCCTCGCGGATAGCGGTAAGAAAATTTGTTTTGGTCCCTCGCGGCGAAATCGCTCGGGTACTTGCTCGCGATCTCCTCGTATGTCATCTCCTCGCATATTCCCTGTCATGGAAATTGAAACATGAAGAGTTGTGACCGTGGGAGAGGAAAGGAAAAAAAATAAAATAAAATAACGCAAAAAGCCAAACTGACAGCGTCGATCTCGTTGAGGGCCTTCCACCTCTCCTGGGGCGCGACGACGTGCGCGGCCGTCTGTATGGTCCGTTTGAGCCAGCTCGTCCATACCCTGAGACCTTGAATCTCCTGCTCGGCTATGTAATCTCCGAGCGCCTTGGCGTACTCCCGGCCACGCTCGCTGAGGTCCGAGTCACCGCCTATTCGGCTGTCGAGGTTCATCAAGCTCTCCCCGTGCCTCGTCAGGTAAATGGTGCGCGGCACAATGTGTATGTTCATCAGGTAGTAGACGATGCGCGACTGTATGTGGCCCTCGTGCTTGTGAACCAGCACCTTCTCGCCCGTGTTGTAGATCTTCATGAACGACAGGTCGCTCTCGTACTCCTCGTCCAGGGGCTGGTACTTTTCCTGGTAGTGCTCGATGCGCAGCATAAAGTCCGCCAGTACCGCCTCCTTGTTCATGTTTGCGTAGTCGGGACTACTCACTTTCACCTGTTACAGCATTGGTTGAGTAAAATTCAGCCAAAGAGAACATTCGTGGAGACACACGGGGCGATCAGTTTTTGACGATTTGTCCCGGTTGTTGTACCCAAAATGTCCCGGATTATCAGAAAAAAAAACTGAGACGTTACAGATTCACTCTAGACAACATTCTTCATTTACCAACTGTTTATTTCGATTCACCCCGATTATCATAATCAATTGTTCAAGAACTATTCATCAGAGTCGAATCGAATAATGAAAGTACATGTACCTAAATACTTAAATAATAATCTGCAATTGTAGAAAAATTTACTTGAAACTCTGTAAAATTGAGTCCAAAGTTACTTCCAAATATATATATTTCAATTGCTCGACCGGCTGGGGGGAGGCCAAGCATCCCGGTTTCTTAAATCAGGGACCCGGTCGCCCTTTTGTGCGGAGACATCAGGCTCAAAGCGCTTATTGGATTCCTGCGTTTACCGTTAGCGTAAAACACTGTGGGTACACAACTGGCGTGCGATAAATACAACGTTAACTTTGAAAAAACAATTTTAAAAAATACACGCAAAATGTAAGGAGAGAGAAAAAAGAAACAGTCTCATTTTAGAATCTCGGCTCAATGTTGAATGAAAAACAGAAGAAAAAACAATCGAATCGTATCACGTATAAGAGTACTTATATGCAGAAATCGCGAGAGAGAGAACGGGCAGTCCTAAGTCATCCATGAGCGACAATCGCCGTGACGCAATTTGTCGCGCGAGAGCGCACACAAGCGTTGTTCTCTTTTTATTTCATACCAACTCAAACAACGGCAATGAACATTACCACTGCATACAATATATATATGGGTGTATAAAATAGAAAAAAAAAGAAAAAAAACGGACCTCCATGATGTTTTGCTCGACAATCTCCGGGTCGTTGCAGACCGACTCGACGAAGAAGAGCTTGAAGCCCATCTTCTTGACGACGATGTCCCGTATGAGCTGGCGACGCTCGACCGTCGAGTTGGTAGCGTCGAAGACGGCCACCTCGCCGTCCCCGGACTCGAGCCACTGGCAGACGTCGTTGAGCGCGTCCATGGCGCACTGGGTGCGTATGGCCATGGCCTTGATGTTGTCGGGCCGAAAAAAATCGTGGCACTGGTAAGCCGTGGTCGCGTGTCTCCTGTACTCCCCGAGATTGTACACCTTCGTGCTTATGCCGATCCAGTTGAGGTACCGGCAGAGCTTCTTCGATATGTACGTCTTGCCCCGCGCCGGCAGTCCAACCATCGCTATCACGTGCGGCTTGTTCACGAAATTGGCCCGTTCGCCTGTCAAGTCAAACGATAATTGCCCATCAGCTCATGTACACCTAATACTTACTGCTTTCTTTATTCGTATCGAGTATGATTCGAACAATACATTCTATACCCTTAATACCAAAATGGGTACCCCCTTTATTTTGCTCAATTACAAAGGTACCTCTCATCTACTAAGTTTTAAGGACACCCTGACTGCTGAAATTTCTCTGCTAGTTTCAGCTTCATATGATAGGGTAGTCGTAAAATAAATAACACTACTATTGCTACCATGTAAGGTATAAAGGCGCGTGTAATGTAAAAAATTGCAAGTTCAGCGGCGCGCGGATACAGTAACGCATCCCATTAGCAAACGCATTTTTTACTCATGCAAATACCAGTTACAGTGCACTTAAGCGTTTAAGCTGTTTCGACTAGCATAGGATGTAGTAAGAAGAGCCGCGGCGGCGCTCACGCGGTTTTTGGCCAAAGTTATTGATGTAATTGTTACATGATGAGAAAAAAGCTGTTTGGCCCTGCGTGACCTGTACGTTATCATAATTACGTATAGGTTGAGAAAGAAAAGAAAAAATTGTCACTTGGCGGGCAAACTAGTTTTCTTCGCTTGTACAAAAAAAAAAAAAAAAAAAAAAAAAAAAAAAAAAAAAAACGATGCTCGAAAACCGGAAATCGATATCTTCATTATCTCCGTAGCGGGACTTACGTAACCTTAGCCGGCAATAATCGGGTTGCGGCTTTTGGATTACACTCAACTTTGTGTACGCTATCTATCGTCGCTAAAACGACACGTTTTCCGGGACAACTGATGTGTGTCTGTTATATTACGCGATATTTTACAATGTTTACGATAAACTCCATAGATATATGCACAATTTTGTACACATAGCGTTGAGCATAATGTATACATAACAAAGATAATCTGACATCGTATATGAACAACTGTAGCAGAGGCTAAAACAAAAATTCTTCCCGGGTGGGTATTCGCAAAACCATACAAGCACGTCGGCGCGTATATTTGCAATTACAATTGACTTGGCGAGGGCGACGCGAATCGCGAGCATTCAAATACTTAGTTGTTGTTTACGCGCAGCATTGAAAAGTAAAAAAATCATATCTGGGAATCGATGCACGAGGGCTAGAGCTCCTCTCTACGCGAGCTTACTTTTTTTTTTTTTTTTTTTTTTTTTTCGTTTTTGAGTAGAGATAAAAACACGCGTTGAGCGTCCAAACTCTCGTGCGGGTCCTCTCTATTAAGGGGGCTCCTACAACTACTGCCGAGGTCAAAGACAAACAAAAAATAAAGTTTTGTTTTTCAATAAACAAATGTGTCTGAAAATCATTATGATATTTTTAACAACGTATGAAGTGGGAAAAATGATATTTATGTGTGTAGTTTAACTTTGTACGAAAAATTAATTATTGTTTTGACCAGTCTAGTGCATACGAGGGTACACCACCAGACCAGACCACCTGTGTTGGTGTAGTATAGCGATGTAATATATAGGTATATGGTATATATATATATATGTCGTGAACAAGTACGTCTGCTACTGACCTCCCGGATACTATTTATTTATTTCCATCACAAATATCTCGCTAAAATGGTCTTTTATCCACAATTTTTAATACAGCATATTACAGAGGAAGACTTCATCTACAAAACGTATACATTCAGTCTGCTGGGACATTTAATTTAGGTTTATTATAAACGAAAACAAATTATTTTTCACGCTGCCCTATAGGAACACGTGCTAATAGTTACAACTTTGAGCTCGGATTTCTCAAAATTTTCACCCGTTCGAAATATTATTTAGACCGCCATTAAATTCAGTAGACTTTTATTTACAAGAAATAATATATCTCTGTTTGGGGACTTTCGTGAAGGAGCCCCCTTAAAATACGTTGTAAAACGTCTAGAAAAACAAAAAAAAACGTGACACTCGCTCTCGATCTTATCTTAGGTATATTACGTTCAAAGCCAGTGCATGGCACATTTCATCGCTGTACGTCTTTGGACGTAGCCTAAAAAGGCTTCGAAAATATATATATTGTGAAAAAAAGGCACTTTGTAAACATCCTCGGGGGAGAGAAGTATTGCAAGTGCATCATCACCGTTACGTAATTATCGGTACATGTGCTAGAGCGGTGCGCGCAATTACAAAAACTCTCGGCGGATTTCCCGTTCCTGGTGGTAGGTATATACAAGTACGAAAATGTAATGCTTGCAAAATTTTTTGCATTTTGGCTTAACGTTGCATTACTCGCGATTTAGGAGTAAGTTTTGGGTTGAAACCTATACATACGTACATTCAATTCCTCGTTGCTTGATAAGTAAATAAAACGAATGAGAGTGCATTCGGTAATTATTTCCAACATACCAATCAGATTTTGATCCCAACTTTTGGATAAGTAGTGCGTCGGTTTACACCGCATGCGTATATATGTATGAATAAGCGCGCAGAGAAGATAGATAGGCCAATCGTAGATATTGAATTTCAAAACCGTTTCCAGACCAAGACGACACGACTCGCACGTTTATCATCGTCGTTTCGACCAAGGCTACAACAACGCATCGAACGATGTGGGTTTCAATGTTTTTATTCTTGCGATGTAACCACTTTACTTCCATTTAAATAATCCCTCTCCCCCTCCCAACTCCCTCGGAGAATCGTAGGAAAAAAAATCTGCCTCAAACAGGTATATGTGTTACTTTTTATTGAAACGGACTTGTTAATTGGCAAACATGGATTTTTTTTCCATTCGAACTGTTTGACTAAAACTGTTGTTTGTCGCGCCGAATCGCCTCTGCGACATGATCCATGTGATACTACTATAGTGTACGGCCTCGGACATCCCGAGATAAGCGCGCATGCGAATATTAAGTATTATATGCAGCGGGAGACGGTGCAAAAACTTGGAGTTGCAACAAAGTTTTTATACTTTGTTTCTTTATCAGTCCACATTGTGCCAAGTTTGGTGGAATGGAATCGTTGCAAAAAATATTGAATTTCTGTCGAGCTGATACATTTGAGAGGTACTTACGGATTTATATTTTTTCAGTTACTTTAAAGGAGAATCTATACCCCCCCCCCCCCAATCGGAATGTTTTTCTAATATGATGGCGTCTTTATAGTTTTTAAAATGACAATAATGCAAATAAGATTTTTACTTTTTACCGGGGGAAAAATTAGTTTTTTGTCATCCAAGTCTTACTGATAAACTTGATGGCTGGTGACTAATTTTCTTATCGTAAAAAAAAAACGTCGTTTAATTAATAGATACGTAGGTAAATACTTTGAGCAGGAACGAACTTTCAGGTGTGTAAAAGTAGTGGTGTAAACAACTTAACAATACTTAGGCACTTCTGGTAAAAATAAGATTGTGCAAGAAATTTTGTTTTTGGAAAGAGTTCAATAGCGAACGGAATTATTTTTATTGTTCGTTGCATTGTTCTTTTGATAATGGCGGGGTATGCTAGTTTTTTATTTCATGAACACATTCCATGTGAAATGTAAAATTTTTTGCTAGAGAAAAAAATGTGCAGATATTTCAGCTATAGCAACGATGTTTACATTTCATGCACTTGCGTAGGTACTATTTGACGAAAAAAGAAACAAAGCGCAATTAAATAACTAAAACCTAAGGATTTTTGGAGCTGCACGTATACGCTCGGATTGTTGTGTTGGACCTATTTATAAAATTGTCGCTTATTACTCTCTCGACACGCGCCAAAATTAATATGCACACAACAAATTTAATACCCAAGAACTTCCGGAAATTCAACCGCCAAGAAATTGAGAAAATCTACTGCAGACGTGCGCGTATATATGGATATTTCCGAACCACGACAAATTTTTTCTAACCTTAAAATTTGAATTATACCTACAAACGTGATACACACAAAATAATGTCACCGAGTATAAGTACTTACCTCTGATGGGAAAGGGTTTCGTCTGTATGGTGTCGGAACTAGGTGGCGTGTAGTGGGTGTCCCTGTTGCAGGGCTCGCACTCGGACATCGAGTCCTCTCCCTTGCTGCCCATCGCAACGGTGGATGTCAGTGCAGCTGACGACGGTGACGGGACGGCAATCCTCGCCCTTCGCTTGGACAGCACGGAATCCAGTTCTTGTTGTTCACTACTTTCACGACCTTGTCCTTCTTCTCCTAACAATTCCTAGATGATGCTGCTGATGAAAATTACGTGCAAGTGTGTTACCGATGCTGCACATATATATATACGCATACGCCGTTTGATACGAGCTTCTTGTATAATTACGCGATTGCAGAATCAGGCACTGATCGTATATCGGGAACGAAAACAAATAGTTCGAACAGCTGAGTTTTCGGAGCTATATAGGAAGCGAAATAGAAGCACTTGAATCGCACGCGATTCGCAGATTGATTTTTAAGAATATATGTAGGTACATACAACTTGACAGTGTGTTTATTCGAAAACAAAACTGATGACGTCCTTTCCGGTACCTATGTAAGTAAAATATTAACTCAATCGAGGCGATTTTATGTATCGTGAAGATACGAATGTTTCTAATAACCTAAAAGGCCAAAAAGACAGAATAATGTGTATATTATTTACTCTAAAGTTCGGGGTGTATTTTGGAACGCACCACAAAAACCCGCAGGTCCGACTAAACTGAACCTGACTGAACTGTGGATCCAAATTGACGAGGCAATGAGGCATATATATGGGGCTTTGGGGCTCTCTCTCTCTCCCGCGTTGCATATACGCGCAACGTGGGGAGGGGGTGAGTCTTATCACATCCGATTAACCGATTGGACTAGTACACTCGAGGCACTTTATATCTGTCGGAACGATTGGTCTACATACGGTCAATGATGTCCTGTAACGTATAATATAACAAAGACGTACTGTCACTTAACAGGTAATTTTTCATCGTTCCGACAAATATAAAGTGCCTCGAGTGTACAAAGATAGTGGAAGGAAGGAACGAGCGGCAGATTTTCAAATTTCAGATTTTCGCCGTTTGTAGAAAAAACTATCATCATAATCTTTCTCTTTCTTACTCATCATCGAAATTGTATAAACGCTTGCTCTATAAATGGATGAGACAATCTATGCAACGCAATACGTGCTGTTTACAGCCTAATAATTTTGAATCTACCTGATGTGAAAAATAAAATCAGCAAATATAGAATCAACTGATGGTTATAAATGTCTATGGACTTCTTCTCATCTTTGTTGTGTTTGTACCTGTGTACACATCAATTAATCAGTTTAAAAAAGCTATTAAAAAAACTAGTTGTTTCAAGATTCCCTGAGAGAGTTATTGATACGTAGTTTGTCGTCATGCTACGTCAGGTGATTAGATTCGCCCAATAAGAGCTAGCATAAAAAAGTATGTACAAATGAGAAAAATGTTAATGTGATTAACTACAGAGTATACGTCGGAATGTAAAAATTAGACTACATGAGGCATTAATATGTGTTTACTTTCAAACTGCACGTGAGTTTGTGATTTGTACGACTTGAACTTTGCAAAAGGTTCTAAAAAAATGTGCACAAGCGTTTGCCTGCCCTCTATCTTGGATGTCATTCATTGATCAATAAATAAAGGCAGTAAAATGTTAATTAAATATTATTATTTATTGTAACTTAAACTGAATGTCTATCAATTTTTCAAATTGAGTCGACCGTCAACATAGCTCAGCAAGTAGAAAAATAAATTGTGCCTATCTAATTTACAAATCAAAAATAAATAAGTCAATCTTTAAAACATATTGATCAACTCAATATTTACCGCATTACTCCATTAGGTGGCTTTATCTGGGCTTAAATGAAAGCAAAAATATAATCCTAATGATTAAAACAAAAATCTTTGAATTTTATGCCCCGAATGAAAAGTTGTAGTGATATTATGAAAAATACTGAATTTCACCCAAAATCACATTATTAGCGGTATTTACGCTCTAATTGAAACAGCTGTAACTTTCGAATGAAAGCACAAAACCGAACAAAATTTTTTTTTAATCAATAGGTCTTAATCCCAGCTTTCATTTCAGCCCAGTAACACTCTAACTGTTGAAGGAGCTTAGCTACATGTGTTAGAAAGAGATATAATTATTCAAAAATCGATGAAAACTGACTTCTATAAAATTTCGTATAACTTTTGACTAGTTAGTTTTGTAGTTGTATCGCTTTAGATATTTGTTACTGATGTTGTATACAGTAAAAATACCATGAAAAAAATTTTTTTTAACCAACTTCAAAAAAAAAAATTTTTCAAGTCGATCTGAGCAAGTTACGGCAGAATCACCCATATATATACTAAAATAAATTAAATTGACCTAGTACGTTTCATTCGTTTGAAAATTAACTATTCTTACGCATCATGCTTTTGTAAAAAAGGAATGATGTGTTTGGCAACCGTTTCTGGTTCTATCATGTGTACATGATGTGATCCTTTAACACTGAATACTCGAAAATCTTTGCTTGATTTACTCAAAACATCAAATATATGTCCCCAGTATCGAAATTCATCATGATGAGGTGTATCCATAGCTTTTATAACCAAATAAGGACAGGAAATAAGTTGTGTCATTTCCTTAAGGTTTTCCAGTGTGTAGCATGAATAAAAACCTACAGCTCTCAAGCAAGTATCACGTGTGAAGTAAAAGGTACCATCTTCTTTTCTCTTAGTTCCTCTGATCATAAGAGTTTTAACTGTAGGCACATTCAAGGATTGAAATACTGTTCCTGTCAACCATTTATCTATAATAACGTCTTCTGGATAGCTAGGATTGTCTGTTAATTTATTTTGTAACTCTATATACCTGTCCATTGCTCTGGTTCTTCTTCTAGAGTGATTCACTATCGTGTCAGTCATAAAAGCAAGTGAATCTAAACTCACAACAAATTGAGTTTCATCTGGGAATATTCTAGTATAATTGTAACACATCATTCCTCCTAGCGAATGACCCATTAATTTAACTTTGTTCCAGTCAAAGTATTTTACAACCATTCTTAGTGCCATGGCATACATGTCTTCATTATAAGGAATGCCACGAGGTAACCAGCTGGACAGTCCATGGCCAGGCAGATCAATTGCAAGGATAGAAGAATTTTTCGTTAATAATGGGGCAATGTCGTCAAATGAACCTGCATTATCCATAAAACCATGCACAGCCAGTATAGGTTGCTTATCACTAGATCCCCATAATTTCCCTATTTGGAAAAAAAAAATTCTTTCTATAATTTTTGAAAAAAAGAACAAATAAAATTAAGTAAATCTCTCACCTTCTATTTTACCCCATGGAACATCAATAGAAACTGGGGTAAATTGATCTGTGGTGGTAGTATAACTTTGTTGAAAGCGCCTTGGTGCGACAAAAACGAAGTTTGAAGCTTTTTTATTTAAATAGCACATCTGTCTTGCAAGCATCTTGATCTGAATCAAAATATTTTTACGAATCTGTGTTCTGAGCGCACAATATAATGTATTTATTATTTTTTTGCGATAAGTTAATAACACACTATATTATCACTATTGTTATCAGTATTGTCATTCTAATAGTTATCTTTTTTTTAATTTCACTGTTTATTTTTTTTTTAGTCTAGAGCCATTTATCACCACACATTATGTATTATTATTAGATAGTTTCATATTTGACTTTTTTTTACTTGGTGAGTATCAACAAAGAAATACAACGGCGTACAACATATCAAGTAATTACTTAACTTTCAAGGAGAAAGAAAATACCTAAGTGTGTACGAACCTCGTAGTAATAGTCAAAGGACGGCGCGTACTCGAGCACCCTTGATAAGTATGAGCGCGCACGCCTTCATTCAGAGCTGAACTAACTAGCTGAAGAGAAGATAAAAGATGACGTAAAAATCCGTCGGATTGTGAGACCGAGACCTATAGATTTTACTATTATACACATGTGTGCTGTGCATGTGTGAGATGTATCTACATTCTACAATCTACATGCGTATTTGCGTAACTGACTTTACTCATATTTTACTACCTGTAGACTGTAGATGTGTAGATATCTAAATGAGGATGATCGAACAAACCATTCATTTATTTAGAGATAATATATATATATATACCCCTTACTTAATATATACGCGAGACGTGGGGAGGGGGTGAGTCTTATCACATCCGATTAACCGATTGGACTAGTACACTCGAGGCACTTTATATCTGTCGGAACGATTGGTCTACATACGGTCAATGATGTCCTGTAACGTATAATATAACAAAGACGTACTGTCACTTAACAGGTAATTTTTCATCGTTCCGACAAATATAAAGTGCCTCGAGTGTACATAGATAGTGGAAGGAAGGAACGAGCGGCAGATTTTCAAATTNAATACTTAGTGGTGATTAGCTGGTCGGTCGTAGTTTTTTCGCTAAATAATGTAATAAGTTATACTATTTTTTTAATTATAGGTATAAGTAATATGACATATATGATCGTTCAAACGTAATGAGGCGTTGTTTATTAATTGTAGAAGCGATATTTTTTCATGAACATTAAATACACTATTAAATATATAGAATAATAAAAAGCAACTTAATTAATTAGATAGATGACAAAAAATTTCACTTTTGCTTTATTACTCTCATGTATATATGTCAATGAAAATAATATTGCACGCCTACGCAATGGAGTCAACTATTTTTAGTTTGGTTGGCTTTTGTGTTGTACGTAAGTATATAAGCTCACTTTTTTTATGTAGAAATTGTATCAAGATTTTATTTATGTCAAATGCGCTAAAGTATGAATAATATTATAAGTATTTATAAAAACCTAACAGAATCAAAGAAAACTTATCGTTTTTAAATTATTCCCGCTCTTTGACCCGCTGCCCACTGAGCATAGACATATAAGAAACATAGACTGCTCGTTTTCGTATGTACGGCGCTGAAGCAGTAGGAGACACAACATCTAACGTGGGTATTGCCCGAGTGAAAGAACGAACAAAAGGTTAGAATCATATATACATATACATATATACTTTTTACCTCTATCGTTCGCTTCGTTCGCGTTCGTTCGCTACGTTAGATATATGTTGTGTCTCCTACTGCTTCAGCGCTGTACAATAAGAACGAGCAGTCTATAGTCTATGTTTCTCATATGTCTATGCCACCGAGACGCGAGCGCTGCACCGCTGGCCGGAGGGACTAGTTACTAGTTTATAGAGCAATGATGCGTAATTATAGCATAAGCAAAATAACCGGATGACACTTTGTATCATTGCAGTAGAAGCGATTTCCAACCTTTCGTACATTTAAACTAATGCTCCCTATTTATCGAGAACCGAGATATGGGGCGATGAAAAAAAAATTTTTTTTTGCTTGTTAACCGAACCAAATTACGGTTAACAGAAAGGTTACACCTAACGTGTATCACAAAATTTTTACCAGCCGAAATGTACCGGCTGGCAAAAATTGTGTGATATACGTTAGGTGTAATCTTTCTGTTAACTGAAGTTTGGTTCGGTTAAAAATTTTTTTTTTCATCGCCTCATATCTCGGTTCTTGATAAATAGGGAGCATTAGTTTAAATGTACGAAAGGTTGGAAATCGCTTCTACTGCAATGTTACAAAGTGTCATCCGGTTATTTTGCTGATGCTATAATTACGCATCATTGCTCTAACTAGATGTGAGATTGCTCATTGCTGGGATATCGAAAAGTCGACGTTATGTTATGATGTGTAATGTAAATAATTTATGTAATGTGTAATCATCCTGTGTAATGATAAACAGAGGCTAAGCCCAGTAAAAGTGTGTATGAAAAAATAACTGCGGCAACTTTTACAGAAGTTGAGAAATGTCATAATTCGTCGAGATCCATAGTATTTTTAAGTTTTTTTTTCTTAATTACAAGTTTTATATTGTAATATAAAAAGTGCAATTTGGTCAATACTACCTACCAGCCGCATCCTAGATCCTATCCCAAAGGATAAGAAAATAATGATTTGTCTATGGAGGAGTGTACCATTTGCTGCAGGATTGGGACTTTTTTATTACCACACAAAAATGCTCCAAAAAAAAAAATTTGTCCCCCTTACAAAACAAATTAATGCTGCAGCTTTGCATGAAAAAACGTTTTTTCATGACAATTTATGTATAAGGTTATGATTAAAGCTGCGGCAATTTTCTGACTTTCAGATGATGGGAAAAATAACCATACCTACTCATCTGAGATTATAGATCAGTTATTTTAGATAAGATAAGCGACGAAAACGGTTATTTTTCCCACCATCTGAAAGTCAGAAAATTGCCGCAACTTATAAGTGTTATGCTTATGCATCAATTGTCATGAATACATAGTTGAGGCATTAATTTTTTTTTTTTTTTTTGAGGGGTTCATTTTTTTTGGGTCGGGGGCATTGTCGGGTAGTAGAAAAGTTCTAATCCTGCCGCAATTGGCAATCTCTGGGGCAAACAGCACTTTTTGTATTACAAATAACTCATAATCAAGGACAAAGATATCACGAAAATACTTTGAACCTCCACGAACCATATACCTATGACGTTTTTCGACGCGAGATGGCGAGATGCGAGATATTTTTGCGCGCCGTTCCACCACTAACGCTGCTTGGCGGAGAATTTTCTGGTACTTTTTAAACTCAAATCAGCCACGATAGATGGCGCTGATTGAAGCAGATCATTTTTGGTACCAAAACGGCCCGCGCATCAGGCTTTCAGAAGTAGCTACCATTAAAAAATCTTAAAATCTATACAAATGGTGTGGACCACTCTGTTTGGTTCCGAGCCATTAGTAATGGCTATAACCTCATATACGTATGATGAACTGTTAAAAGGTCATTTAACGACTACATTTTTCTCTTAAATATCAGTACTTAGTCATCATAAAACATTTAAATGTACAACTTTCTACACTGCACATTTTGACATAAAAAATTTACGTAGGAAGTAATATAAATTAGAAAAAGTATTAACGTATTAGCTTACTTCGTAAACGTAAAAATTTACTCGTTAAGATAACCTCGACAACTCTCAAATGCCGAGGGTCAGAACTAATAAATCGCCCAAATCCGGCGCAATTTTGACTCGGTCTCGAGCAACAAAAACCACTCAGAACCAGACCTCTCGTAAACAGACCAAAACAACAAAAGCCGAAGCACCCAATCAAGAAACAAAGACCAGGCCGAAGAAAGGTAAACAATCATGTTTATACACTTTGCGAAAAAAATGTTAACCAGTGTTAACAAATCATACCGAATTTTTTGAAAGACACTTTTATCATACAGAGCTTGGCTAAATTGAGATCAAGTTGTGACATGTGATTTGTACTTAGAATAATATATATACATATACCAAGGTTAATTGATTAAAGTTATGAAAACATTCAAAAAAGTCATGATAAGACTTAATTTCTATTTATGTACTTAGATGAAACAAAAAAGAAAGGCAAAGAAAATGCTGGTAGTAACAAAAACAGTAAGGAAAAGAAGGAAAAAAAGGGAAAGGAAGACAAAAAGAGACGGCTAGAGGAAGAGCTGGTTGAAGATGAAGATGGTGGTGAGAAAAAAGAAGCCACACCAAAGCCCAACAAGAGAAGGAGAATCATTCTTCCAGATGAAGATAGCGATGCTGAAGTTGATTCTGGAGATGAGTACAAGCCTGGTCATTATCGTTTCTATGGATTCTTAGCATTTATAAATTGTTATTTCATTATTATTCTGTATAAAAAAGAATTTTGTTTTCAATGCAGATAGTGATGTGTCCCAGGAATCAGATGAAGGGTCATTGTCTGAAGCTGTGAGTGACAGCGAACCAGCTAGCGAAAAAGACTCTGATGATGAGACTCCCAAGGTATTACAGTTCCAATTGTATACTTAAAGTTAAAAGTTATAGGTAATCCTTAGTTCATATTTTAGAAACGGAGGAGAGGTAATAATGGTAAAGCCGCTAAAAGCGCTGGAAAACAAACTATAAAATGTGACATTCCACCAAGTGGCGTTGAACCAACAGCCTCAAAAGCTTCGGATACCCGATCTTGGCCACACTTGAAGTACGAATTTTTACAGCCAGATAAAATTAAGGACGCAATGATGCGTTCTCCCGAACATCCTGATTATGATCCAAGGACTCTGTATGTTCCCCAAAGCTTTATGGATAAACAAACTCCTGTAGGTAATTTATTGTTAAGTTAAGTACTACATTAAATTTGATAACGTTAAATATTTGTATTAAATTTTCCAGGTTATGCGACAATGGTGGACTTTAAAATCTCGTCACCATGACTGTGTATTATTGTTCAAACTTGGTAAATGGTATGAATTGTACCATATGGATGCTGTCACTGGAGTAAATGAGTTGAATACATCTTTCTTGAAGGTATGCAAACAATCTAAATCATTAAAAATTGCCAAACTACATTTATACTTCAATTTATTTTGCTATCATTTGCTAGAGAGAATTTGCTCTCTCAGGTTTTATTGAAACTGCTTATGGACGTTACTCAGCAAGTCTTATTGATAGAGGCTACAAAGTAGCAAGAATTGAACAAATGGAAACTCCAGAAATGGCAGCTACACGCTACGCCAAAAGTAATTGCTCAATTGTATTAATTTTCTATTCCAATATTTCTGCTTATAATATTATTTTATCTTGAATAGCAAAATCGTCAAAGTTTGATAAAGTTATAATCCGTGAGCTATGCCAGATCAGCTCTAAAGGAACGAGAATCTACACAGCCCAAGATACGGAGGCAGTGGCACCTACATCAAACTATTTGTTGTCGATAATTGAAAAACAAACGACTGGTTTACCTTTTTATGGAGTTTGTTTCATCGACACCTCCATTGGTGAATTTCATCTCGGCCAATTTCAAGATGATCGTTGCAACTCGAGGCTATTAACTTTACTTGCTCACCATCCACCTGCTCACATTCTTTATGAACGAGGCAACTTATCGCCTACTACACTGAAAATAATAAACAACTTTTTGCCCAACGTAATGAAAGAAGCACTGCAAAAAGAAGTGCAATTCTGGACATCAACGAAAGTTTTGAAGGTATGAACTGCTTCGATTTTCATATGAAAAGATTCAACCACGTAATACTTAATTGTTTTTAGACCCTTTACGAGAATAATTATTTCAAAAAAGAAGGAGATGAGTCCGAATTCACGTGGCCAACAAGCTTACAACCTTTCTTGAACAAAGGTAAGTACGATTGCTACCTTTGAGTCATTCGTCCGTCACATTTCACCAGATCAATTAGTGGTGTTCATTTGTTTTTGCAGCTGACAGCTCACAACTTATGGCATCAGAAGATAAGGAGCTTGCAATTAATGCTTTGGGTGGCTGTGTGTATTTGCTCAAAGAATATATGTTAGACCAACAGTTACTTTCCTTAGGTCGGTTTAAAATCTACAGCCCACCAGATTTTACGAGTATCAAGAAGGGAAGAAAGGAAAAGACTCAGTTTGCTCATAACATGGTAATTTGCATAAAATTACTTTAAAAATCTGCTTTCAATCCAAGTACATAAATTATGTCTGAAATTTGATCTGCACTTTAATAGGTCTTGGATGCAATTACGATTAATAATTTGCGTATCCTTGGAAGTGATGGATCTCTAATTGAAGTACTGGATAAATGCTGCACAGCTTTTGGAAAGAGGTAACTGAAAGACTATATCTCACGAAAATGACTGTAGTGATGGACAATAAAAATCTAGAGTCTTATGGGATTTCTTTTAGATTAATACGGGAATGGATCTGCAGGCCATCTTGTCGCAAGAGTGTCATTATCGAACGACAAGAAGCTATAACTCAGCTGTTGGATAATCCAGACATTGTTGCAAAAGTCCGGAGTAAATTAAGTACCTTGCCAGATATGGAGCGATTATTAAGCAAGTAAGTGTACTTGAAACTGTTTCTGCGCTTCTATCTGGAAATATACATTACAAATTTTTTTCTAATTTAAGAGTTCACGCTTATGGAAATGCAGCTAATCTACAAAATCATCCAGATAGTCGTGCCATATTGTTCAGTGCAGATATTATTTCAAAGAGAAAAATCAATGATTTCATAGCCATGATAAACAGTTTTGATGAAATCTTATCAATAATCGAAAAATTTTCTGGTAAAAAATTAAAAATAAATTGTAGTTTCTTAAGCATTCCTGACGTGACATATAACTTTTTAGATTTTAATTCTTCATTGATTACCAAATGTACCAAGTTGGAACCGAAGGGTGACTTCCCTGATCTAAAAGAAACCTTGGATCATTTTAAAGTAAGCTTGAACATGCTTTTTCTAAAATCAATGCAAAATATCATGACATTGTAAAAAATTTTCACTGTTAGAACGCTTTCAACCACGAACAAGCCAAAAAAGAGGGCTTCATCATCCCTAAACACGGCGTCGATCGAGAATACGATGAGGTTTTGCTAGAATTAGCTCAGATTAAAGAGGAGTCTGATGCTTACTTGAACAAACAGAAGAAACATTTTGGTGACCAAATTGAATACTGTGGTGGCAACAAAAAAAGATTCCAAATCAAGATCCCTCTTAGTCAAATAAACAAAATTGACCATAGCTACGAATACCAAGGTTCGAAAAAAGGATTTAAAAATTTTTCCACGTCAAAAACTAGGGAATTCCTCGCCAGACAGATTGCCGCTGAAGAACAAAGAGACAAAGTCTTAGGGGACAGTAATCGCAAAATTTTTGCCAAGTTCAGCAAAGAGTTTGACAAGTGGAGCATTGGAATTTACAATATTGCTGTTCTCGACTGTTTGATCTCCTTGACGGAATATGCCCGAACCTGCGATGTTTGCATTCCGACTGTTTATGATGACACGGACGGTGATGAGGTACTGTTTAAAATGGTCATTTGTGTTATGTTTCGGCTTAAGATACAATTACCTTTCGATATTATTTTAGATAATGATTGAAATAAGAGATGGAAAACACCCGTGTATACCGTCCAACAACTTTATCCCTAATGACACTTTAATTGCTACGAAAGAAACTGCTCCATTAATACTCTTAACAGGTCCCAACATGGGTGGTAAATCTACGCTTATGCGGCAAGTTGGACTCATCACAGTGATGGCACAAATTGTAATAATCACTTGTAAACTGTATTTATCAATGATAATTTTAGTTCTTTTTCTAATGGATCATTGAATTTTAATCAGGGATGCCACGTTCCTGCAAGCGCTTGTCAATTAACACTCGTCGATCGCATATTTACCCGTCTTGGAGCAAACGACGATATTATGGCTGGTCAAAGTACATTCCTGGTTGAGTTGAGTGAAACTGCAGCTATACTACAACATGCAACAACTCACTCGCTCGTTCTTTTGGATGAATTGGGTAAATAGACATTCCATGTATACTCATTCATCATCTTATTCCACGAACATTTATTTAAATTACATTTTTTGTAATTATCAGGCAGAGGCACATCCACTTACGATGGAACGGCTATCGCGGCTTCAGTGGTCGATGCTCTTACAAAGAAAAAGTGCAGGACACTTTTCTCAACTCACTATCATTCTCTTGTTGAAGACTTCAAAGACAGTGCCAACGTTTCTTCCGCTCACATGGTAATTATGAGATTTTTAATTTGATCTATAAATGAAAGTGCCATGCATTTTGAGAATGTCATTACCATTGAATTTCTAGATAATATTATGTATGACGAATTGGATTGTTTTTAGGCTTGTAAGATAGAGAATGAGGACGAAGGTGAAGTTACGGAACAAAACGTGACTTTCTTATACAAGCTGAGCCAGGGTGCTTGCCCCAAATCCTATGGCTTCAATGCTGCTAGACTGGCTGGCATACCTGCACACATAACTAAGCGAGCCCAGGAAATAGCAACCAAACTAGAAAACGAAGTAAATCTTCGACATGCCTTTACTACTCTTTGTAAAATTAAGGACGGCCCATCCATCAAAAACGTAATCAAGAATTTGAAAACTCTGTAAAAAGTGTTAGAAACTGTTCATGTTTATTTTACATTCAACCAAGTGTAATAGATCAAAACTACTTAGATTTATTTTTTTACTTTCATACATGTATTCCTCGATTCATTAGTTCCTTTCCAGTGTTACCAAATGTACAAAAGTATAAAAATGTTATACAAAGATAGCGTAAAAATATAAAGTTACCTTCACTGTTGTATTGAGCTCAATATACATTTATTTTATAATTTTGATTATTTATTTACCCTTACTCAGTTCCAAATAATTTGTAAAGTTTGAATGTGTATTGTCTGTTCTTGAAAAGTTTTTTTTCAAAACATTGTAGTTGTGAATCTCTACGGAAAAATCTGTCGATAATGGCACCGGAAGTTATGCAAAAAATTTGAAGTGATGGTATGAACGATAGTGGGATACAGGATATGCAAGGAGGAAATAAAAAAAAGTGAAAAAACGAAATGATGTGTGTGTAGCTTACAAAATGTCTTTTATTTATCAATACCATAGTACAAAAAGGCTGTCCGCGAGTAATGTTTAAAACATGATGTACAATTAAAGCACGTAGTTTGCGCTCTCGAATGACAATTGCTTTTAATATTGTTACTCTATGAAGTAGAAGACGGCTATGATATAAGTAACATACTTACGAAATAAAATGAAGTGCAGAAGTTTACTTTCGCATTAGACTTCGCGGTGAAATAAAATAAATATTATGGTTAACATAATGTGCCTCTGCTAAGCTTTGCAAGAGTCAAAAAAAAAATTGTTAAACAAATAAAAATAAGTATCTACGATGATGGATGTTGGCTGTAAAAAGTCTGAAATCAAAATAAACCAATTTTTTGTATCGAATTTTATTGGGTAGTGATAGTTACGCTATGAACGGTAATGACAGAAAGATGTAAGTTATAGTTCTATTTGATCGATATAGAGGGAAATATTTATGTATTTATTATGCTGTTTTATATGTCTATATCTTTTTCGTCTTTTTGATATTTTGATTTGAACGTAATCGTCCAAGTCATTAAGAACTGTCTAGATAAAAATTATAATAGTTGTGGATAGAAATAGTCATAATAAAATAATATTAGTTATAAAAGGCACAGGGATTAAGAAAGCACTTTATCTCTCTACTTACTTGATTTTTTTTTTTTTTTTGACAGTGCACTTTTTTAATTTCAGATTTTATTTTAATATTATTATGACTTCCCTGATCTAAAAGAAACCTTGGATCATTTTAAAGTAAGCTTGAACATGCTTTTTCTAAAATCAATGCAAAATATCATGACATTGTAAAAAATTTTCACTGTTAGAACGCTTTCAACCACGAACAAGCCAAAAAAGAGGGCTTCATCATCCCTAAACACGGCGTCGATCGAGAATACGATGAGGTTTTGCTAGAATTAGCTCAGATTAAAGAGGAGTCTGATGCTTACTTGAACAAACAGAAGAAACATTTTGGTGACCAAATTGAATACTGTGGTGGCAACAAAAAAAGATTCCAAATCAAGATCCCTCTTAGTCAAATAAACAAAATTGACCATAGCTACGAATACCAAGGTTCGAAAAAAGGATTTAAAAATTTTTCCACGTCAAAAACTAGGGAATTCCTCGCCAGACAGATTGCCGCTGAAGAACAAAGAGACAAAATCTTAGGGGACAGTAATCGCAAAATTTTTGCCAAGTTTAGCGAAGAATTTGAAAAGTGGAACATTGGAATTTATAATATTGCNAAAAAAAAAAAAAAACGCAAATCGATCGTAAACTCTTTGTATTTGTTTTTCGCGTACAATGTTACACAACTATCGATAACTTTAGCCGTCGAAATTCGCGCATTCAATCACCATCGACCATACACGATGAACATGAAATTTGTCGGAAAATCTCTGATCGCAACGTAATAATAGTACATAAACACTACTAAAAAGAGAGATATTGTCATGTACGCACAACAATACAGCGATAACTGCCGATTGGAATTATGTAACGACAAGATTTTTTTATTTATTTTTTTTGAATGTCTTACGCGCGTGAAATTAAACATTGACAATGCTAATTATATAGAAATAGCAATAGTGATAGCAGTGACAAAAAAATAATAAATCAATGAAAGTATGTCCGTTTTAAGTATATGTTTATGTGTATGCATTATTATTATTATTATCATCATCATCATAACATGTATATATATCAAATCGATTCTTCGTCTCGCGATTCTGCTGCTGAATCCTCTCCTCATTCCGTTCGTGTACGTGTTCCCCTTCGTATTTTCTTTTTACGCTTGTAATTTTCTTTGTTTTCCTTGTCACACACGGATATAGGGGATGGGGCGGAGGATGGTGGGTGCGCTGGTCGGAGGGTTTACCAGAGTCCGGATGAGAAGCCGCCGGGTGGCACACGCTGTTTCTTCATTCGGAGGCCGGCAGAGGGCGACGAGTCGGTGCTGGATTTTTCGCTGCCGGCACTGGATGCGCTGCCGCTTATGGTGCCGTTCTGCTGGCCAGCCGAGTTCTCGTAGCCAGTGCCCGTCACCGGATTGCCTTCTGTTGGGAAATCACGAGGAAAAGTTTAGTTTTTTTTTTTTTTTTTTTTTTTTTTTTCTTTCGTTTGATTGTTATTTTTCATTTTTCTCATACATTACTTTCTTTGTATCGCGTAGCTTTCGTACGTTAAACATTCTTGGGGTGAAAAATTAAAGTTTCCAATGCCATCGATATCAAAGCAGTAGAAATATTATTCATTTTTATCGGTTATTATGGTTTAAAATGTACTTATATTTTTTGAATGATTTTTGAAACATTGAAAAATATAATAAAAATTGCTCATTTGAAACAATTTCAGTCAATTTCTTACCTATACGATGATACTAGATTTTAAAAATCAAAATAAAATGCACAGAAAAAAAATAAAACGGATAAATTTGAAAATATATCAAACTAAACATAAAAAAAAATGCACCCAATCGAAATCCATGTTGATTCGCAAACAAGAAAAATCTCATGCTTTGGAATTTCCACAAATAATATTAAAAAACAACACATTCACTTATATACTAACTAAATCACATCTCACAAGGCATAAAATAATGTGATATTTACTGGTACGCTATAAACCCTAGAATGAGAAATATATATGTATATATATATGTGTACAACAACAACGCAACAACAGAAGAAAAAACTGGAAAAAAAGAAATAAAAACATGAAGATTAAAAATATATTGTAATGACAATAGTAAAAAAACAATAAAAAGGAGAGGAAAGGGGACGGAAAAATGAAAAAAAAAAAGAGAGAGGATAATACAAGGATAGTCGAGAGCAAGGGTTGAACTCGTTTTTACCTTTGGTCCTGCGTATCATACGCCTCGACGCGTGAGGCTTGACGTCGACCCCATCACCGGTGACCGGATTGCGCGGTATGCAGGACGATCCTCCTGCAGCGCGGCGTCGAACGCAATTCGTTTTTGTTTGTTTGTTTGTTTGTTTGTTTAATGAGCAAAATTAAAAGTGGCAGTGGTATGGCACAGGGTAGCAATAGCAAGAGAGCGAGAGGCGTGGGATTTTTTTGTTGGAGGTTTTGTTAAACATGTGCAGGAGATGAGAGCAGGTTGGAGAGCGCGCACACACATATGGCCGTGGTCACAAGGATGGGAGGTTCCGTCACCGAAGCAAACAAAAAGAGAAGAAACACGTACATTGTTGACAGTTTTTTTTTTTTTTTTTTTTTTTTTTTTTTTTTCTTTCCTCAATTTGTTTTAGACGATAGGAAAATTCGTTGTTTTATTTTCATTTAAATACGTATTGATTGAATAGTTACTGATGGAATATTTTGGTGAGTTTATTGACACTAATTTATGGTTTGCAACATTTATAAAACACATATCCATATAGATCTTGTAAAAAAAAAAAAAAAAAAAAAAAAAAAAAAAATTAAAGTATGTTAAATTTGTAAGAAAAACGATTTTTTTAATTGAAATATAAAATTGAGAATCTTGTGTTATTTTTTTATGTCGTGAAAACTGTTCAGTCAATACCATTCGACGGATAGGAATGGTTCTAATCAATTTCTGAGCATTTAAATCCAGATTTTTTTTCATAGTCGTGAGACATGCAAGGTATGACCTTTGTATACAGGCAAATATTGAATTAATAGTGAATACGTATAGCATTTCGTAAGCGATCGTGATAAATTAAAGAAATTTTACAAAATTGGGAAATAATTTTTATTAATTAGTCCTAACTAGTTTCATTTCCAGTTGTAACAAAATAAAATTTTTGTACAAATTCAGTCTCGTGAAACTAGTTTTTTATCCATTGGAATGAAAAAAAAACGATTCCATGTTAATTCAACATTATTTGTTACAGTACAGTAATTGTGAAATAAAATTATAAAATGCAGGAAGGTTAACGTAAAATAAAGGAAATATAATGAGCCTCGTGTAAGAAATGTGCAACAGACACAATTCATGTCACTATAAAAATTGTTCGATTAAAAGCACATTTTGTACACTACAGCGTATGTTGGAAATAAAATAAATGGTTTGTGATTAACTTAAAGCTAGTGAAATTGAAAAATGGTCAACTAACTCCAAATTTGTGCATATAGTTTGATAATATTTGTTTGGTAGGTTCTAAAAAATTTATTCTGTTTGACACTACTTAGGAAAATGAACAGAAATCTTTAAGATGCAATTCCAATGATGGATTCAATGTAAATTTTGAAAGAAATTAAAAATTTGGTGTGATTAAATAATTTGCCAATCGATAAATGCCAAGACTTCGTGTTCAAATGAAGGATGTGATTGAAATATTGAAAGTAAAAAATTTGAGTGTAAAATTTGCTATTCTATGATTTTTAGTGTTAAACACTTACGAAATCGCTTGATTCTCCTAAATGCTGCTTGTGAACAGTGCAATTCAGACGAGAAATCAATATTCAATTTCAAAATTTGTATAAATATAATTTAGAAATATAAAATATTCAAAGCTTCTCGTCTCGAATTTAACATTGAAAAATATAAGTTGATTAAAAATTGCATGTATTAAATTATATACATTGAACATAATTTATCTGTCTTAAATATTAAAAGTGAGTACGTTGACACATATTTCAAGCTAAGGTTTTTCACGTTCTGACTGTACTATTTACAAAATTGTCGTACAAACAGAACTCTCCAATCGCACAGAAAAAATTTGTCATCGTTCAACAAAAACATTAAATTTTATTTCAACTAGCGTGCAAATTACATTTTACAATCAATTACAAGTGAATGCAAATTAAATTTTCCGTTTTCAAAACTATTTCAACGAATCTCTTCTGTGCAATCAAAAACCAAGTGTACTAGAATTCCAAGTAGTTGAAAAGTTGCGTAATAAGATATTCATTTTAATGCTTTTTGATATAAATTAATAAAAACAATTTTACAATCGACGAAGCGCATTGGCCAAAGAAAAATTTATCGAGGCATTGAGTAACCATGTGATCTTCTTAAACTTATTACGCAGCCTTAGAACAAACTTCTTCGACCCAAATGGTCAACAGCTTTCATGATTTTTAAACACAATTACGTAAAGCACATTGCTGAAAGCTAATTTTACAACAAAAACCAAAACCAATGAGCAACACACGCCCAATACTTGTGACTTAAAAAAAAAAAACTTAAGAAAAAAAAAAAAAAAAAAAAAAAAAAAACGCAAATCGATCGTAAACTCTTTGTATTTGTTTTTCGCGTACAATGTTACACAACTATCGATAACTTTAGCCGTCGAAATTCGCNAAAAAAAAAAAAAAAAAAAAAAAAAAAAAAAAAAAAGAATCCTAAACAGTCCAATTCGGGCTAAACGCCGAGAGTAAAAAAAATGTGGAAAAAAAAAAACTGTTTAAACGAGACAAACGAATGTTTGGTATTTATACACCATCACCAGCCCTCTCGAGCACATTGCCGACCCCAACCGGCAGAAACACTCGAGCTACAACGACACAAAAAAAAAAAAAAAAAAAAAAAAAAATCGAAAGGGAGGAGAAAAAAAGAAAAGAAACAATACTATCGGCAATAATAACAGTAATTTGCGCCTTTAGCGCACACAATGAGCCGTGGAACACTGGATGGTTATTTGACTGTTGTCGTGACAAAAAAAAAAAAAAAAAAAAAAAAAAGACACAAAGTGTGCAATGTGCAAAAAGACACCACGACGCGATGCGCGTGTATATTAGGTATAATTGTCACATAGCATCAAGTGTATACACGGTGATGATGATGAGTAAAGTGTTGGTATAAAAAAAAAAAAAAAACACGTCCATCCATCTTTGGTGAAACGATGATCGAGGCGTAACAGCTATACTACGCAATTACGTACCGACAACGTCGTTGTGTTGGTAACCATTGTTAGCATCGACGCCGTCCCCATTGCCGACGAGCGGCCTGTGGCTGCTGCTGTTGTTGTTGTTGTTGTTGTTGTTGTTGTTAATATTATTACGAGCAGCGAGGAGGTTCCTGTTAAGATTAGTGGGCGAGCTCAGGGCCGAGCGATCGCTGGAGCCCGAGCTGGTGAGCGATATGTTGCTGCGCATGTGGTGTTTCGAGTTTGGGGTCGAGAGCGGACGGGCATCGGGAGGACCGAACAGTCGTTTGTACGAGTCATTACCGGGCTTGCTGCGCGGCGTCTCCGGTGCGCTGCTTCCGTTCGACGAGGACGTGTCCTGCTGCTGGCCCGGCTTGTCACCCCCGTTGAAGAAGGCGCCGAGCTGCGACTGCTGGTGCTGCTTGACCCTGCGAGGGCTGTTTGTCTCCGAACCGGCGCCGAAGATGTCGCTGCTACCGCCACCTGGGGGCTTCAGTACCCTTCAAACACACATGGAAAAAAAACAATAAATAATAATACATTCTCATGGGGGGCTGGATTGCGCGGCCCAACCCTGTCAAACGTATATATGGTTGTATCGCTCGGTGGTGTTTTATTATTCGTCTTAAGTGACTCACGGGACGCTTTCTTTGCTCCCTGTTTTTATGGCCTCCGGAGCAATTGGATTTTTCCCGATTTTTTCGGAAAATCAATCCCCCTCCTATAACTCGAAATTGATTCACTTGTATAGTATAAACATATAACATTTCGATACTGTCAGCGGAAGATGTGCGAACAAAATATATGGATAAGCGATTGTGGCGACAACAGCTTTCGTGTTTTTCCCCCATATCCCGAACGCGGAAGCACAAGCAAAAGATAAATGGGCATTACTTAAATATTTCTTCAAGAATAGAATATAGAGAGAGAGAACTAAGTTGAACTTTGACAGGCACGCTTACAAGTGTATATCCATATACACATGTGTGTTCTCTCAAGTGCCCCCTAAGCTTTTTCAAATTAGTTTACTTTCTGAAACGCTCGTCTGGGAGTCACTATATGTATATATATATATATATATATATGATTATGTACATGCCCGCATTGGATTAAATTACCCGTACGTCTGTCTTCTCCGCAGACTATAGACGCTCGCTCGCTACTTGAGGACGAATTACACGCTGGTGGTGTTTATACACGCGCACGACGGTGTGTTGACTTTTCTCCAAGTGGCGCTCCGTGATGGGTGAGCTCCAAACGGAAGTTTGTCTCGTAAATTGCGCGAGCACCGAAGAGACTTTAAACTTAACTTTTTTTTTTTTTTTTTTTTTTTTTTTTTCCGCTTTCAAACGATGATTACAATGTCTACCACGATACATTAATCACGTGTACTACAAGTGTATCAATTGCGCTTGACGTTCATGTTGGAGAATAAAAAGACACTGAAATCCAAGGAACGAAAGGGGGGGGAAAAAAAAGTTCTCCTTAAATCGAATGAATAAACTCGCGAGAGTAACGCAGGTATATACACGTGTGGGGGTGATGCGCAGAGAGAGAGAGCAGGGGTGGCAGCACCCCTCGCACGCACGCCAACCCTTCCTTATACACGCACGTGACTACAAAACCACACTCGTATATACAATCTCGGGGAGGGGGAGAATCCAACAAACCTCCCGCGAGCTCCTTTTCCAAGTGCCTCCAATTACGCGGAAGGCACGCGCGCTCGCACGCACTTTTCGACAATGAGACCTTTCGGCGTGTGCCAGGAGTAAGTAGGCGACGGCGTTCGTTAGCCGTGCTGACTTGTAACGACTTCAATTAGGGTATACGGCACATCATATAATATACCTATACGCAATGATATAGCACGTAACGCGCGAGCTGTTGGCTTGGATTACCCGGACGGACGTGCATTCGTACATATGGGTTTCGGGTGTAGCAAAGGAGTTGTGCGTCGCGATGCTTCATTTTATTGAAAATGATTCTTCAGATGAATGGATGGCTCGCGTGTACGGCCGAAAGTACATCGGTTGGATGTTTGTTTGTTTGGTAAAAAATGAAGGAGAGTCTAGCGCGCACCCTTAGAGGTAAATGTATATTTGTACACTGCAAGTTGCGCCAACAAATCACTGAAAAAGGCAAGTGTTTCAAAGAGCTTTTCTCGAGCTCTCGAGTGCGCCCGGCCACGAAAGGGGCCACCATCGAAGCGATGAGCACTAGATACTATACGAGTGGCAGTGATCGAAGAAACACAAAGGGAAGAAGGAAGCACGTCGAGGCTCGTAAACAGGTATAAAGGGATCGGCTCTGCGGTCGCAATCGTACAATATCAATCTGTCTATATAATATTATATACGTACAGTTATACGAGTATTGCGGAGCAATTTTTATCTCAGCTCGGCTCCACCTCCTCCTGCGCCACCGGAAGCTCCGTGACCGCAGCTGCACAGCTTTATATTTTATAAGGACACCGAGGGGGGGGGGGTGATCAAGATACCGCGAAGATTGTCGCGTAATGACGTCCTGTGCGGGTACACATACATTATATACGCACGGTAAATTTATATGGAGATGTACACATTGAGTATAGGTAGAAAAAAAAAAAAAAAAAAAAGATTTTCCCTTTCGCCGAAGCATCTATAGACCGATCGCATGCACGCTCCGGCCGATGAAAGAAAAGCCTTTTCTTCGCACACATGCGCGCACAAGTGTATATTTTACGGACGTGCAATAATGTCGCCGGTATACGTTGTGTCAAGGCAAGATATAGACGGAGGAAGGCCCCTCGGCGCGACAATGTCGGGAACAGCCGCTTCTATAAATAGCCCGATCGACTCTTTTTTTTTTCCTTCCGACTCTTCACCTTTGAAAAAACAAAAACGCTCTTTCCTCTTTTCTTTTTCTTTTTTTTCCCACTCTCTTCACGCAACTGATTCGACGAGTATATAAATATCCGAACAATGGCCGGGTCGGTCGTGCTCCCGTTACGTAAGCTACACGAAGGATCCATCGACTCGATACACTTACGATGGAGTTGTCTCGAAAAAAAAAAAAAAAAAAAAAAAAAAACTCAATGGCCGATCGGGCAAAGAGGATTATTCTCTTCGATGGGCACGCCGGAGCTGTTAATTTCCCCGATCGAGGAGGGGAAAAAAAAAAACCTATCATAGTGGGTCCCGCGGCTGAATCTCGGACGGACAGGTGGACAGGGACCGAGGAAGACCCAGCCGGGCGTGACCATCGATGCGCGCGGAGATACGAGATCTCAGGAGACCGTGGCGGTGGACACCAGACGCATGCACGGCCACGCTCGAGTCGATCTGTCCGATCAACATGTATATATTGTGATATATATACCTGTAGCTCCGTGGCTGTCACCGGCTCGCTTTTGCTTCGGCGGAGCAGTCAAACGGCGATAGCGAGCGAGAAACAAAAAATTAAATAAATTTCGCGCGAGTCATCGTTCATCATTGTAGGATACTCTACATATATAGGTACGCTATTGATACTGCACGAGTGCCGCTATACGCGGGGTGAGCATAATATAGGCATTGTCGATCGTCATGCATATTCGCGTGTACAAAGCTTGGGTCAAACTCCCGTGACGAAGATTGTGGGTGTGGCGCGAGTCTGGGGACTAATTTTTTTTTTTTTTTTTCGAGACAACTGCACCGTATAGCGAGCGGCGATCACACGTTTTATCGACGCATCCCTACCGTCTCATTTTTTAGAGTGCCATTTGTAATAATTTACTTTCTCACGCGTGCACGCGCGCTCGGGTGTCCTTATACTTTGGTGAAACCCAACACTTGATTCTCTGATCGATGATGGGTATACAACCGAAGGGACTCGATGGGTATATGTTTTTAAAATCGGTGTTTGTTCCTCTATTCAAAATAGTAGAGAAAAAAAAGGAGGGGGAATAAACAGCTGTGGTGTTACATATGTATCCGCGAGTACAAATAAAAAGGGGTCCGCACGCGAATTCCCAGGGTTACGGGAAACAAGATACACACGTGCCGTCGGATATACACAATACCGCGTGTAGGTATGTATAAAAAAACCAAAGGGCAAAGCGGAGGAGGAACGAGCCGCCGTCATCTTAACGACGTCGTGTCGTGTGCGTTGTCGTTTTTTTTTTATACGTCCACATAGCATAGCTCAGGTCGCGAAATAAGGTCGCGACGAGAGGAGGACGAGACGGCCTTTTCCTCCATCGATTTAACTACTAGCTGCGGTGCTTTTTTGTTTGTCTTCCCCCCCCCTTCCCCCGTTTGTTATTGTTGTGTGTATATGTACATACTCGTGTAAATGATATCGCGAGTAATACACGACAAGAGTCACCTCACGGCGCTTTTACACACACGATAGAGTGTGCGAACGACGACAAAAGTAGATCGTCTTCGATTTCTTTTATGTATAGCGAGCGAGACATGGAGAGAGAGGGAGAGACGGGCCGTTTTCCATCGGCGAAAAATTGGGCTAATTGCGATGCGCACGAAGTAGAAAGACGAGCGAGCGAACAAAAAACGCCGCGGCATTGAATAGGGACACTTTTGTACAGCTGTTATTTGCCACACTCGAAGGCGAGCTATACATATAAAAAAGGGGGGGGGGGATTTCCATTCGCAGGGAAACGGAGCGCGAAAGGTTTGATTGTTCCCGGTGGAAAGCGAATCGATCGATGGCGGTTGCACGTCAGGTGCGATTTTCTATTTTCTCGCCAACAGATTCAATATACATTCGTATCGGTTTATTAAAATGTCTCGTTTTTGCACATAATCGCAGGCGCTGGAAGCGCGCCCAAATGGGCCACGTGAACCAAACCGCTAAGCCGGTTCTGTTGGATCGATACACCTTGGGCTCCGAGCCTCCGCGCTTTGGATATTATAACTTACACGTGTATAGATTCCGACGGGGAGTTTACGCGAATTTCACCCAGACTCGTATCGATTACCGATTACAATGGGAGAAAATAAAATATGTGCGCGTGCTTTTCAAGGGTATATTATTCCGCGGCGATTCGACCAAACGAACAATCCACCGTCAACATACGTATAGGCTCTCACGACAATGATATATATATATATCAATCAACGCAAACGGCGGGCAACATTATACACGTGTACGTCTTTTGTGATGTTACCTTCTCACGGCACGAAAATAAAAATAAAAAATAATAACGCGTCCTTCGTTTCCCTTCCACGTGCATATAATGTATAATTGGCGCGAGCCGTCGCAATTAGCGGCGCATGTATACGCATCGGGGTAGGCGTTCGCGTGTATATACGAAGGGCCTCCTTTCAGCCGCAGTCCCCAACAGCTCCGATTTTATTATTTCATTCGAGTATTTTACCACCATGTAGTGCAGGACAGCATTGGAGTTTGGAAGTTGTATGCAGCGCGACTGGGTAATACGCGGATACAATGTACACACTTGGTGAAACATTTTACGAGCCGGTAAATCATACACTCGATCGGGATGAAAGAAAGAAAAGCA